ATAAAGCAGCCACATTTGTCTTGCACCCTTTACTCCCCTATTTCCACTGGAGTTGTTTGATTGATTGCCTTTTGCCAGCCCTCTATGGTTGGTTTGAGGAGCAGCCTGAAGCTTGCTTTGTTTTCCCTGCAACATCTCCCTTGGGCTGCCACATCCCTTTATGGTTTATTTATTGCTAACTTGTTTGATTAGATTAAAGGAGGATTAAGAGACCCAGTACTCTTAACAAAAGGCAACCCATCGTTTATAAATGTGTAAACATAATGTAATTACTTTGTAATTCCTTGTGTTAAATAAAAAAGGGAATTCTTCAGCAGATAAACCCTGAGAGGGTTTTTTGAAAATCAAATGAAGGCAGTTTGCTGACTCAGATGTGTATGCCAAAGATGAGTATCCCCCACAAAGCTCAGGTTTTAGTTGATATGAAGAACTTCAGCTACTTTGATGTCCTTGTGATCCAGATAATACACCTTGTCAGTCCACTCTAATTTCTAACCATTTCTGATTTCCCATAATGAAAGGAGGTTTGGTCTCCACTTGGACAACTTAGGATTTGCCATTAATGGCAGTTCAACTGTCTTTACATTAGCAGCAGTAAAGGATATAGTAAGGAGAGGATTCAGCTTTTATTAAAAGAAGTAAAGTTTACAGACCCTATTACCCATTTTTCTTCTGTCTCTACCATTAGCAGAGTTGTACTAGTGGTAATTCTGGGTAAAGGTTAAAAAAAAATAAATAAAAAGAAAAATAAAAAGCTAACTTTGTGCCTGTAGGCTTAGTTGGCCTCCTTGCATTTGGGTTTGTTTTTCTCGTTTTCACAAATTAAAGTAAAAGACTCTTTAAAACAAAAAAGAGTAACTGGGATTCTGTTAGACACTGAGGTACCATACTGTGTGTGCTCGATTCTGTAGGTGATTTGAAGGAGCATCTCAGTTATGAGCAGAACCGTTTCTGTGCAGGTCTTGTCAGTTTGAATTTTGTAATATTTTAATATGTGAAAGTTAACATCTTGATTTCTCGATTTCTTGTAAGCATTTTTTCCTCCCTCGTGTGGAAGAGGAGTTCAGAAGCATTTCTCTGGACAGGACCATCCCTTTATATTTTTGTAATTAGCAGTAGAACGTTTCACCTACTTTATTCTTCTGTGGTTTGACGTGCGTTATTTTTCTTCTTTCTTTCCCTGTTTTTTTGTCTCTACTCCATATTATGATTGGGACTGTTTGTTTATATTATGCCTCACAGGTCTCTATTATACCTCACTGGCTAATTCTGATCTGGCTACTTGCAAGAAGCTGTCTGTGGTGATTAGAGCGAACAGCAGGGCTTTGCTTACATGTCTCTGTTGGCTGGTGTCAAAACACTGCTATCAGAAATGACACCAGTTCTGTGGCAGATTTCTGTTGTCTTTTTTTTTTTTCTTTTTAACCAAAGGACCTGAACATGATCTGCTAAGAGGCCATCAAGCTCTTGCCATAATCACTCACATTTTAGCATAGAATAAATATCTCCAGCTTTTCTGCCAGCCACAAGGCACTTAGGAGTTGCTGAAAGGTAAGGTTTGGAGCACCTTGGGTGTAATGATGAACTTCCTTATAATGAGCTCTGTTTTAAAGAGGAGAGTGTAAATCCTTGCTGTAAGAAAACTGAAATTAAGTCTGGATAAATTGTGAATTACTTACACTGACATCAAGTTAAGCAAAACAGTCTGAGAAAAGTATTTAGATTGCAGTTTCAGTGTTTGTGCTACCTTACTTCTTTGACTTTTGCTGGCTTGGGATTGGGAATGTTTGATGTGTCAGTTTTTACAGGCACTAGGGGTTACATGAGGAGAGCAATGATGGAAGCAGCTATTGCACCACAGGCAGTTCCTGGCTGGCTGCCGCAGCTGCTAAGGAACAGGTCTCAATTGGCATAAATGTTGAAGAGCATGTGTCCGTTGGAAGTTGGCTTTTGAATGTGCTCATTGATGTGAGGGTTTATAAGGCAGTGAAGAGTACGAGGTAGATGATGATACATTAGAGGAGTTCACTGGGAGCCAGACACTCTGACACCCGAGGCCTGTTGTGGCCTTCTCCATCTGTTCTGCTTGTTCCTGCTCCTGCACCTGGCTTCTGCCAGTGTAACGGTGATGGGGCTCTGCTATGACCTGGATCTGACCAAGGGGACTGCTCCAGCTATATGATTTTTCCTTTTTTGAAGGCAAGGGCTTTAATTTACTTTGTTTTTCAAGTTAGACAAGTTCTTGATCTGATTTGGAGCACAACTCACAGATACATCAACCTAAATGAGGGATGGGGGGTGAACCACAGAGTGAGAGTATTGTGAAGCCAGAGCTTCCTTTTCTGTGTTGCTTTAGACAACTTACCATTCTCTCTACCTTCATTTCTCATTTCATGAGATAAAGGGAGAAGTACTTTAAAGAAGGAGTTATAAGACACCTGTTTGTTAAAATTGTTGTGTGAGCTTTTTAATTTTTGTGGAATACTCTTCAATCTTCAAGGAAAACATACTATTAAAAAACTAGATATTGCTTTCAGCTAGCTTACCACTTGCATCTTTAGGCATCGATGCAGTTAACAGTTTTAATCGTATAAAATGTCTCTTGTAGTAGAGGAGACACCCTGCACTCTTCGACACAGAGCTCCCCATGCTAGGTTTCCAGTCATCATGCCAGTAGCAGAGGTCCAAAGAAGTCAGTGATGTCCTTTCTGTTTTGAATCTACACGAAGCATTATTACCCTCTTACCCACAGGACTAGCTTAAAACAACCTCTTGTTCCCTGATATTCTGTGGCGTATCAACTACAATGGAGCAGTAGCACTGGTGAGTGAAAAAAAAAGTTTAATAGCATGAGATACAAATTTATGGAGTTAAATTGTCCATTACCTTCTTAAAACATTGTTGCAAAGCGAATGGCTGCAATACAAGATTATTGCGCTTCCTGAGCTGCACTACAGTTAAGTGAAAGTGTTGGAACTAGTAAGTGTTTTCAGTCCTAAATGTGAAAGTCCTTATTTGAGTTTAGCTTTACGTCGGTTTCCTTGTGCACTTTCTCTGCCTGATAGAGGCTGATACACCCACATATGTCTACAAACAATCCCCATAGCAATGAACTGATGGAGGCTTTTCTCTTGAAAGCTGGGAAGGGAGGGATTGATATAGCCAAGATGCACCAATACTACCAGACTCATGGAGCCATATAAACATGGGATTAGTGAAATGTGAAACTTTATGCTTAACATTTGGCATTTCAGTAGACTTCTGTTGAAAATAGGTGGTTTAGATTTTTGTGGATAGTTTCAACAAGGAGGAAAGAGGGTCTAGGCGATTAAGACTCTTGCTGTATGAATAATATGTAGCAGAGGTAATAGTCTGATAAAGATGGAGTTAAAATTCTCAGGGCCCTTAAATACTAAAATATGACTTACGTTGTATTCATGGTAACTTTCCCTTTGATGTGTCCGGCTGAAGACTTAGACTTAACCCCATCTTTGTGACTTATCTCCTTGTTAATTTGAGGGAGCTCAAGAGCAAACACTGCCAAGGATGTAGGCAGGCCATGGGAAAAGCCTTGTGTTTTGCTTTGTGCCTGCATATCTTTCTCAACATTTATTTTTGTGAAAGCTGCAATTTCAAAAACAAAATTACCTGAACAAATACTGCCAGTTGCTTTTCTTCTTGGTTTTGTTGTAGTAGCACGAACCTAAATAATTTCCCCTCAGTTCAAGAACCAGCCACCATTGTGTTGAATGGTGAGTGAGAAGTTGGAGCCAATCGCTAGATGAAACAGGCAACTGTTATTTTCTTCATGACTTTAAGTTTCAGTCCTACAAATATGGTAGGATCAAAAATGAAGAGGAATTGCAAAAACAGCCATAACACAAATCCTTAACTTCTGATTTTTGTCAGATGAAAAAGTAAAGAAATCTCTAGTTCATGGTATTTGGTAGCATTCCCAAAAGCAGACAGGAAAGATCCTGCTCTAGGTAACTAAATGAGGGCAAAAATGTAATAAATCAAGCACTCTTCTATTTCCCATCAGTGGGCACAGGGCTTATCTGTGTTAAGAATTTGGGTTTCTTTTTTGCATTGGAGCAGTTAAACTCTGATGCAACCCCTTTCTTTGACTTCCCTGGTTGTATAAAAGGCAGCGCAGTGGTGGAACCTGGGGCTGAATTAAGGCAAAACACCCTTGTGTACAGCCATACCAGTATAAGAATCCCTAGGGATAACTGTGCCTCTAAGACTTAGATATTATTGCATTATGTTAATTTTGTTCCGTAAAGTAGTGATTTTGTGGATGATTTACATTTTGTTTATAAAGTAAAAAGAAAATATTTTGATTTTGTTTCTTAGGCACCAAATAACTCAAACCTAAATCTTGCCAGCATAACAGATTAACCTTGTAATAGCATCTTTGAGACATTAATGTACACGCTACCTTATCTTGTGCTTTATCTGTTTATTTTAATATCCTTTGTGGTTGCTAGTGACGTGTTTTTATTGTAGACAGTGAGGGGTTTTGGCTCCTGTTTATTTCTCTGGTTTATCCCCATTCACTCTGTTCTGTCTTCTTGAGGAAATAACTGCATCAGGCAGAAAAAGCCAAGATGATAAGCGGTTGCCCAGATGCACGATAGGAGTCGTGTCTGCTTGAAGTGTTCAGAAAGCCTGCTGTGAGCTGCATGTACAGTTACGACTCTCTCATGGCCTGACAGTGAAAAAGGCTGATAAATGAATTGCACATTGCTGAACAAAAGCAAAATAATCTTTTTTTACCCCTTTCCAGCATAATTTACATCTCTATGACTTATGTAAAGTATTTACATAGGGTAAAGTTTAGCCATTGAAGATGCCTGTGGCATTGTATCTTGTAAGGCTTGAGTGCTTGTTGTTCATGTCACTGAGTAGAAAACTAATCAGAACATAAATTTTAGAAAGTATGGGGAGGGGGCAAGAGTGTGCCTTTTTGTTGTTCTGCTGTGTTAAATTGCCTCAAGCCAGGATCAAGCATATCCCAAAGCAGCAGAGAGGCAAAAGGCAGAAAGGAAGCGGGGTGACTGTCCTCGACTGCAGCGACTCTGCCTGTGGTGGGGATTGTCGCTCGCCGCTGCCTGCTCTGCGGGTGGCAGACGCCCACTCGCGCCTGCCGTCTTGCTGGAGATCATTGCCCACTGCCAGCAGATCGTGGAGATGAGTGTGCAAAAATCCTTCATGTACGTTGGTGTGGAAGTTGATGATTTAAAGCAGTTTATGCTAACATGGCAGGTTTTGGACTGGAAGGATGAGAGTGCTGCAATAGGGGTGGTAAACTCCTGGCGGTACCTGGTCCTGGATAGCTGTGAGGGGTAGGTGTCCTGTTGTTCCCATTTGTGCAGCTGTTTGTCAGTTTAGCTCCCACAGTTTGGAGATATATAGGAGAATGTGGAGTGTAATTCTGTGTGACACCGTGCTAGTTTCTCAGTGGGTGTTTTCCTAGATGTGACATCTGATTTGGCTTTCAGGGGCATCAAAAAGCCTGTGTGGTTTCTCTGTGAGTGATTTAGTTCAATTTTCATGCAATTCTACTTCAGTGTTCTCATGGTTGAAAAGTAAAAGAAAGCAGAAATAGGAATGGAAATCTATTCTCTTAGCTGTATCTCTCTATCCACAAAAGTGGGTGGGTGAGAAGACCTCTCTCTTCCCAGCATCAAGGAGACAGAGATACGGGAAGATCTCCCTCTGGGGCAATTTATTTATAGAAGGCAGGGAGCAGTTTGTAGTCAGGTTTAATTAGGATTTTTCAAGACCTGGTGAAGCCTCCTGTGATGTGATGATGGAGCTTGTGATGCTGAGAGCAGCTGCTGCTGTGAGAACCTCTGCAGAACTCATCTCTCCCAGCTTTAGGCAAGTTACAGATTGCCTCTGTGCTGTGCTGGCCCTGCCTGAGCAGCATGGCAGTCAGCGTGCAACTCAAGGTACCTGGAGTGCATCTCCTCTCCTCTTGAAGATATCAAATGAACCTCATTCTGAAGTGGTTAATTTCTGCTCATCAGCTGTAAAGAGAGTCCAGGGGACCAGTTGATAAAGTTACCTAGATAAATCCCACTCTTAAATGTCTGATGAACATTTTAGACATGGAACATCTCCAGCTGTTTACTGATATTTTAGTGTCTAATGTAACATCTACATTCCCCTGCAGACTGTGCCACTCTACCCATCCATGTGACATAGTACTGTAGCTGAAGTGAGCAGCAAACATTCTTACCATATACATAATACATGTGCTGTATTTTATTTTAGATATACAAATAAATTACTATTTTTATAAGCAACCATTTTCTTTCTTGACACAAATTACTTGGGTGAGCAAGGCTTCTAAGATTGCATACAGAAAGACTACTGGTTTGTTTATATTACCTCTTTTTGTGTACAGATGTGCCCAGATTTAAGATATTATAGCTATGAAGAAAGAATGGGCTAATTGTAATCCAAAAAACCAATACGACAACTATCATCTTGTACTGCTGACTGCTGTAGTAGATGTGCTGTGGATCATGTGAATGTGTGGTTAGCAAATTCTCCTTAGCACCCAGCCTGAAGAGTTGGCAAACTACAGAATAAACTTATTAATGTAAGCAATTTTTGTTTGGATGCAATGATTATAATTTGTTCTGTTGCAGAATTACATTCATGTTACATCCTGCTCTTAGCAGAGCTTATGGCAGTTGCAGTTTGTCAAAATTTGCCTTCTTTATGAACTTTGGTTTTGCTGACAAATTAAATTCAAAATTAAAACAAGAAATTTGGTTTACACTCTCTTGCTGCCAGGATCCTTCCCCAGAGATGGTTAGCCTAAGCGTAAAGTTCTCAAGAGAGACTCATATCCTCTTCTTTTATATGAGGTGTTTTAATGAGCCACCTGAAGGCACAGAGTAAGCAAAATTACTTACTTTTTTCCATCAGGATTATCACTTAGGGCAAGTGTTTTCAAACAAACATCAGAAGTGTCTTGTTATGTTTACAGTTTGGGAGAAGGGCATCCGCAGGTACTGTTTTTTTCTATGTGTAACTTTTACATCCACTTTCTGTGAAAAGCGTAGACATATTTCCGTGGCATAAAACAAACACACATGTATATGCCAGTAGAATTGCTTTTATCAAATAATGTGTGCCCTGTAGCAACCTTAATCTGGCAGCAAGGAGCACTGAGATTAAAACTAACTGAATTGATTTTCAAGGTAAATAGGTGAGGTTAAGGGACATAACAAGGGAATTTATTTATTTTATTACATATTGTAAATTATAGAAATGGTAGTAATTATTTCAAGAAACTATTTGAAGAATGTGCCGGCCTCTGGAATATTTTCCATACCAAGTGTGAGATAGCATGGCTATGCATACCTCTGGTCCTTGTCCTGCAGGCCTCCGTCTGCCTGTATTTCCTGTGCCTAGGTTTCCTGTGCAGGTATCAGGATAGAGCTGAATTATGTCCCTTGACTGGGGAGCCAGGCAGTGCTTATAGGTCTCAATGTTGAAAGCCTCTTTGTCATCCAAGGGGGACTCCGTGTTCTTTTCTTTCTGGAAGTTCCATCCCTTTCCCGGGCGCAGAGTATGAAGATTTTAGTGCTCGAGGGGATCCCAAGTGAGACCATGAGCTCTCAGCCACAGAGTCTGGTTTTGTGGCTGCGCCTGTTCAGCTGGCACTTAATCATTGCGCTATTAATCATAACTCTGCCTTTGAGATGCGGCACCACAGGGCGATGTTTGCGTGTTGTTGGAATACTGAGAGACAGGAAAACAGCTGGCAAGAGTCTTTCTGGGAAGAAAGAAAAAAAGCAAGAACAAAACAAAAGAAGGCAACAGCCAATACTTTTTTATTTTAATATTCTCACCTGCAGTGTACTCTGTACGTCTGAGTCTGTCACGGTAGCAAGAAGATACTATTACCCTTTCCAAAAGCGTAGCACGCTTGATGCAGCCCAAGGCTTGGTGAGAGTAATGCATGGTGAAGGCTCAGCCTCAGAGAAGATGATACAAGTGACTACAGGGACAAAGTGTTTGTTTAAAATTTTACCAGTCACTCATTCTGCTGCAGAAATGGCTAATTTTCAATATTCTTTTGCAATGTTTTCTTGTCAAGCATAACCTTTTTTCTTGTCTGTGCCTACTCAAAGAGTTGAAACTGGGTTTCCCCTTCGTAGGGACCTCTTTGCCATTACAATGTTATTAAAATGCAGCAGTGATCTCTGTGAGGCTACATTATATAAACAGAAGTAAGCCAACCTTTCATATATGCACATATTTTGTAATCAACATGCAATTTTACTGCATTTCAAGTAATATTTTATAGCTGTTAGGCCTGGTTTTTGGTGATTTAAGTACTTGAAAACCATAGCTTGGAGAAGTTTGTACAAATGACTGCTAAACTGCCACAATTGTGTTTAGTTTGTGTCCCCAAGCCAGATCCCCTCTCCGACAGCATGGAAGAGAAACTCCCTGGATGACTTCAAGAGGCTTTCTACACTAGTGTGCGCTTTCCTGGTCAGAAACAGCCAGACATTTAGGGTTCTCTGTAAAGGCCACCTACCTTCTAAAGTGAAAGGCAGAGGGTTTGGATTAGGAGGTTTAACATTTACAGAGAACTGTTGTGGGTGGTGTGTATTTTGATGCTCTCTATTGGGCAGAAACTCCTGGGTTTATTAGGGTCTGAAGTTTTTTTTAAACCTTTTTTTTTAACATTTACAGAGTAGACAAATAAAAATGTCAGTCCCAGAATGAGTTTAGACTAGAATAAAGCAAAATCTGCTTGCATCTCAAGCCTTTCATGCGTTCTGTGACAAGTTTATAAAATCCAGGATTTGTATAGTCATGTATGTAGCCATGCAGACATATATTTATTACTGTCCTTAAGCGATCAGTTGTGGTCATGGTCTGTGGCAGCAGGAGGTATTAAACTGAACACTGTCGTGACAGGATGAGCTTGAGACATATTGCGAATGTACATAATGTTTAACTGCTCTTCACAATCTGCTTTTCTGTTAGGCTATGCCTTTATTGGCATGGAGGCAAAATGTTATGAGTGTGATGAACAGACCAGCGCTATCAGATGAGATAGATTCTGCCTATCTGGGTACCCTGTCTCCAGGAGTGCTCGTTGGTGGGAGAAGGACTGGGCAAACAGGCAGATTCTTCCCTGGATTAACCAGCCAGCCTTCAGCAAACTTCAGTCCAAGGACTTCCAAGGCCAGAGGTTGCATTTCTGCACTTGACAACATTTGTTATAAAATGCACATAGCCAAGTTTTTGTGGGAAGGACAATAAGTTAGATTCACTTTTAGAGTGCTCCTGTAGTTGAATTATGCTTTGAAATGAGATTCTGTAGTGCTGTTTGTCTCTGTATAGCTGGTTGCCCAAACAATATCTGAACATTGAAGCTGTGTTTAAATAAGATACTTTATAAGGTTTTCAGCCCACATGTACATGTAACCACAATGTAGAAAACAGATATGAATGTTTTGGCAGATACCTAGAGGGTCGTGGTGTAGGAATTGGGAGAACAACAATGATAAAGAAGAAACGGAAAGAGAAGTGATCTGGAGGTAAGGTTCTCTAAAGAAAAAAATAATATTCTCTCCCCAGATTTAGGGCACCAGTGTTTTTGCTGTGTACATCAGTGCCACAGGTGTAAGGCTGTGGAAGGCAAGTTTCCTGTGCGTGCCATTCACCTTCTCAGCAGTTACCCCCAGGGACTGCTAACATCATTATCCGGAGGCCAAGGGATCTGACCCTCTCCCCTGAGACAGCAGTACTGTTCTCTGGCAGGCTTCCCAGGGGTGCTGGTAAGCAACACGGTCTGCACAATCTCTCTGCCTTTTGACCAGAGACAGTCAGGGTCATAGACATGAATATTATCTTTGTGATGCTTCAAGCAAGCAAACAGATAATATTTTTTTAAAAAGGAATGTTGCATGCAGTCAGTTGAATGTAAAAGCACCATATCAGATCTTTCAAGAGCTGCTCCCTTGAGGGAATGTTGTGCTGGCTCATCCATCCTGCCGGGACGGGGGCAAGGCAGGGAAGGGAGCGCACACGCATGTGCATGCACTTCAGTGTGTATGTGCACGCACATGCTAGAGTCACGGAACAGCCTCTTTTCCCTTGATGAGTCCCTTGTGTCTTCCCTCTGATGTTAACTAAGCCAGGGAACTCCTCTATTTTCGTGTATTGTAGTCCGGGAATCATGCCCTGGACATTTTTTCAGCTGAGTACATTTACATACAGGAAATCAGTGCAATGAATCCTCTTGGAACAGGATTTATACTAGACAGTTTTGCACTGATTTCAGGTATGATTTTTTTTTAAGCAA